TACATTTGTTGCCCTCATCATTCCCAAAATTCGCTTGCCTCTTGGGTTCCCGGAATCAGCTCATTTTCCTTTTTTCTCCCCTCCCCCTCCCGCACATATCTTATTTTGAAGTAAAAAAACAAATGGGGCAAAAACACCCGGTGGGCCAGATAAATGTCCTCGGCAGGGTGCATGTGGCCCGCAGGCCTTAGTTTGAGGACGCCCGCACTAAGGATTCAAAATCTAAAACGACAACAGATTTCTCTTGGATGATGTGCGAGAGCTGGATCACCTCACCCTTGTCTCTGAAAAGTCTCTAGATTACTGAGTTTGTAAACCTTCCAGCTGTTTATAAAAAAAAGAACACCTGAAAAACTCAGGGCACCGTGTCTAAGCAAAGGTTGAAATATTAAAGAGCAAGCCTTTCTTAGAAAGAGTGTCTTGATCCCAGCCATGTCCTGTTGTTAGCCTCATGTGCTTACAATGTTTCTTTTCAGCTGAGGCCTTCTTGAAGCGCTGAGCTGCCCAGAGTGTCGTGTGGTTGTCCTCCGTGTTGTGCTTGCAGGTAAATATTCTACTTGTTGTCCATCCCAACCTCTGCCTAGGGTTAAAGAGGACGGATGGGGTATGCTCCTATGTTCATGAAGCAGGATTGGGCCTGGATCACTCTCTAATCTTACTAGAGATAAATGGAGAGAGAAGTAAGCAGAGACTAGACAGGAACCCACAGGTCCTGGTGGCTTCTCATGACCTACGTCTCTGCGTTGAGAAAGTCCTCGGCCCAGAGGAAGAGTAGTGTCAAAACACATGGAGATCACCAAGAAACACTGGGATCACAAATACTGAATGGAGACCAGAACCTTCCTCCAAAGCTGGCAGAAGGAGAAAGCTTTTTCCCAGAGAAGGAGCCGTGAATGGACTGCTAGTCTCCTACACTTTGAAAGAATCAATTTCTGTTTATTAAAGCTAAAAAAACCCCAAAACCAAATTCTCATTGTTCTCTAAAGTTCAATCTATTTACTGATTGTATGTGCAGAAAGGCATAAACACACAGTTGCCATGTAATAAATAATTAGAAATGGACACAAGTTATAACTACCCTCAAGGTCATACACTAGAGACCTCTCTCCGGTCTCCCCTTTCCTACATGGCCACAGCACTGCATGGGGTGGGCTCCCCCTGAAGCAGTCGAAGGATAAGTACAAGTAGCTTGCACTTATGAGACTGATCCCAGGATGCCCTACTCAGGTGGCATTGTGGGGCAGGAAGCCCACAAAGGGTGTCTTGGTGACTGGGATTCACTCTTACTGGGTGCTTGAAGACAGAGCAGACCACCTCAGAGATAGCTGCCCTGGGGACTTTTACCCTCCAGCACTTCCCACCTGCCTTCCCTGGAGCAGCCCCAGTAGCCAGAGAAAAACCTTGGCAGAGTTGCTGGGGCCAGAGGCTGGATGCCATCTGCTGCCCTTCAGAAGACAGAGGGCATGTGGGTAGCTCACCACCAGGTTCTGCTTCAACCACTGTGCTGACTACAGGTGAGGCTCAGATTTGGCTCCAGGTGGTCACAGTAAAGCAAACGCTGCAATGAGGCATCATGTCACACACTATTTATGGTGTCCCAATGCATATGAATGTTTACAATATGCTGTAACCTGTTAAATGTCAATAGCATGATGAAAATGTTGCAAGATTGGCTTACTTCACAGGGAGCACCTGCTGTCGGGAAAATTGCCCGAGTAGACTTGCTCGATGCAGCATTGCCTTGTTTTATTTTTTTTCCACCACCTATTGTGGGTTGAGGAACCCTGGTGGTATAGTGGTAACATGTTGGGCTGCTAACTGCAAGGTTAGCAGTTTGAAACTACCAGTCTCTCCACTAGAGAAAGATGAGACTTTCTGTCCCATGAAGATTTACCCCAAAACAAAAACAAATTAACTAATTAATTAAAAAAAAATACAAAATATGACAAAATAATAATTTATAAATTATCAAGGGCTCACAAGGTAGGGGGGAGCGGGGAGGGAGGGGAAAAATGAGGACCTAATGCCGTGGTTTTAAGTGGAGAGGAAATGTTTTGAGAATGATGAGGGCAATGAATGTACAAATGCTCTTTACACAATGGATGTGTGTATGGATTGTGATAAGAGTTGTATGAGCCCCTAATAAAATGATTTAAAAATACAGAAAAAAAATACAACCTGGAAACAAACCCACAGGAGCAGTTCTGTTCTGTCCTAAAGGTTCACGAGGAGGCAGTGAGTTCAGTTTCAGAGATGATGGGGGGAACGACCCAGTAGGACAGTGTTTAAAGGGTATGTTACTAACCCAAACGTTGGCACTCGCCAGATTCTCAGAAAGATGAAGCTGTCGGCTTCTGTACAGATTCACAGCCTTGGAAACTTTGCTGGGGCAGTTCTGACTGCGTCCAATAGGGTCCTCATGAGTGGAAATGGACTGGGCTGCCATGGATTTGTGTGGTGGATCAACGTTCCAGGCCTCTATTATTTTCTGGGGTCGCCGAATTACTGCACCTCAACTTGGTGGCTCCAACCACTGAAATCCGTGCTCTCAATCTGGAGGCCAGAGCTTGGTCACGTTGACTCCTTCTCAGGCTCTCTCCCGGCTTTTCGGAACTACTCTCCATGCCCCCACATCTTTTATACTTTTTCTTGTCATTGGGTAAAGACTTGCAGAGCAAATCAGTTTTCCAGGGAAGATTTAATCTCGGAGACCCTGTGTAGGGTCGCTATGAGTTGGACCAGATTGAATGGCTGCTCCTTTTGGCTCCCAGGATGACCCCTGGCTTACTTCCAGCTATTAGCATCCTTTTTCCAAGTAAGAGCTCATTTACAGGTTCCAGGTGTCCTGCATTCGGCCCTTGTTTTGTGTGACACGTTCTTATTGAAAGCCGATCGCAGCCGGCACTGGACTGAAATCTAGTCGGGAGGCCGCACCTCTGTTGGCCAGTGAATGTAGTCAGTCGGGGAGCTAAGGTGGGGCCTGAGCTCTGCCGCGTGCTCTGACGCTCCTAGACCGAGAGGTCCAGGCGGGGTGGGCGTGGTCACAAAGAAACGAGGGCGGGACACAGGGGCGTGGCCTAGGTTGCTAGGCGGGAAGATAAGTGGCGGGGCCTAGGCTGCCCAGTGGGTCCTGGAGTGGGGCCTCGGAGGGAAGGGCGCTATGGGCGGGGTCTGAGAAGATGGGCGGGAGCGAGCTCTCAGGCGGGAGGTCAGCGGCTGCTCCGTGACAACAGCAGCGAGGGCCACGCTGCCATCCGCCCCCTGCACCAGGCGCTGCGCTACTAGTTGGCGGTGGAAGGTAGACCGAGCAGTGTCGGGGTGACAGTCAGCGACCGAGCACCGAGCGTGAAGTCGGAGGGAAGCCTCAGTGGTGCCTGGGCCTCGGCCACGCCCTCTACGTGACGTGTGTAATCCCTCATCCAATCCCCGCCCTCTATCGGCCTCGCCCTCGCCTTGTGGTTTCATCCCAGGCAGGTTCATCTCAGTGGCTCTGTCCCGCCTCCACACGACTAGCGTTTCGCGTCTCAGCCAATCCATCCGCATTCTCGTGATCCGAGCCCGCCTTCGTGACGTCTCTCGTCCAATCCCGGAGCTTCCTCCCGCGCACGCTCTGCCCGCCGCGTCGCTTTCTTGTAGTCTCCTGAGGCAGCGGGTTGCGGGTCTTGGAAACATGGAGGCGCTGCTAAGACGCGAGTTGGGCTGCAGCTCCGTCAAGGCCACAGGCCACTCGGGGGGCGGGTGTATTAGTCAGGGCCAGAGTTACGACACCGACAAAGGACGGGTGTTTGTGAAAGTGAACTCCAAAGCGGAGGTCAGGCGCGGGGTCGAGGGGGCGGGCTCTGTGGGTTGCAATTCGAGTTTGGGGGAGGCTTCGGAGTTGGATCCGGGGATGGGTCAGAGTCCAGGGTTGGAGTTAAAGTCCAAAATTGAGGCTGGATCCATGGGTGGGGTCGGGGTTCATGGTTCGGGGCTGGGGCTGGTCAGGGCTCGAGGTCAGGGGCCTGCTGGGCCTTGGAGTTAATGGCCTGGGGTTCCGGGCTATGTCCAGGTTTATGTCAGTCCGGGGGCCTGATTTGAGGGAGAGTCGAGGAGTGTGTGTGGGGGCATGGGTCGCTGTACAGACTCCAGGTGGGGGTGCCTCCCTCCAGGCTCCAGAAATTTGTATGGTTTTATTTATGTTCTAAAGGAAACGGCCCTACCTGGCGGTAGGCCAATCTCACTTTGAAATTCGCAGCCTCCGCCACGCCACTGTTGTGTGTTTGTGGGGCTTTGTCACAATTTATCACTGGAGTGACTACGTGACTTGCCGTAGTCAAACTAGTCCAGGGGCCTCAACAAGGCAGGAACCATTGTGAGGATGGCCAGGACTGCCTAGCATGCCCTGTGTTGTTCATAAGCCGTGAAGACTCTGGGTTCGCTGGGGGACCCCTAACGACAGTGCCCAGATATAGTACTCAGGCAGTGCTTCCTCCTCACCTACCTGGTCACATCTCTCCAGTTCTGCCTTCACTAGCACCTGGAACAGTCCAGAACGTTGTGCTGGGTTCAGGGGAGGGGCCTCAGCTACATGTGCCTTAGCCATTGCTCTTCTGCCTTGACTCAGTCCATAGTCACCTGGCCTCCCTTCTTGAATTCTTAGGAATTCGTCTGGTCAATGGTTGTGAACATGCTGTGTCTTTGTCTCGCTTCCTTTGGAGTTAGAAAAATGTACTGACCAAGGGTGAATGCTGTTTATACTGAAAAAAAGATGCGTTTTGTGCCTTTTCTTTTAGGAGTCTTCCCGAATTTGAGGGAAAGTTGCTTCCTGTTTTCCCTCCTCATCCCTGTGCTGCAGCTGACTGGGTCCGGTTGTTTTTCTCGTCCTCTAGCTTGAAAGGGCTTATCTGTCCTTTGCACACCCATGCCCTTGCTTCTCATGTGCCACCCAGCTCTCGGAGCCGTCGTCTCTCATAGCTCCGAGCTGCGCTCAGGAGAAGCAGTGCTCCTGGGTTTCATTACAGCCCTGGGTCTCGCAGGGGTAGCTGTCAGGGCCTTGGCCTCTGGCTGTGTCTCCAGGCTCTTCTGCCCCAGCTTCATTTCTCCTGCACTCACTGCCCTTCCCGTGCTTTCAGCAACCACTGCTCTGGCTCATGACCTGTGTGCTCCTGAACCTTCCACAGTGAAGCCCTGGGGTTGAGCAGGCCCCTGGAGACACAGTCGTGATGTCCTGGAGCGCTTGCAGTGTTCTGTTAACGCTGCTAAGTAAGGGTTAGCTGTTCACTGGAGGCATCTTGGCATGTCGCTGTCACTAACACTTTTACAGAGGAGGAAGCAGGGTCAGAAAGGAGATTGACACTTTTAGTAACATCACCTTTAGTAATCACCCCTGGGGACTCTGCCAGCCATCCCAACGGAAGAGATGAGTACCTCTGAGCCCCTGCACAGCAGCGGGGCAAATGGTCACTGCACACACCCACATGAACAGGCGCCTCCCAGTGCAGTGAAACAAGCCATGCCCACCCTGGCCCCTGACTGCAGAGGGTTGGAATGGCAAGTTCTTGGGGGGGTGGGGGGTGGGGAATATGTGGTCTCCCAGCTCGACATGGTAAAAGAGGTGGCTGGTTTGAAAATTCACCAGTTTGGACACTTTTTGAGTTTTGCACTTTGGTGCATGGGAGAGTGGGCAGGGACAGGCTATGTGGGGCCTATGTTGGTAGAGTAGGGGAGAAGGGGCCTAGCTTGGGGGTGTGCATTTGAGGGGTTCACGACAGGGTTGAGGGCAGGAATCCAGACAGAGATGAGCACTGTCTCCCTTTGGACCAGAACAGTACCAGTGGTAGAGGAGGTGACAGAATGCAGTGGTCCATCTCAGTGAAGAGTGTGACTCAGTTACCAGGCAGCTGGTGTGCCCTTGCCCTCTGTGGGCAGGATTAGCCAGGGAGCCGCAAGGCCACCATCTGCTCAGCCAGGCATTAGCCTTTCTTCCTGGGCCGCTGTGGGGTTGACCCTTTCACATAAATCCAGCCCAGCGCTGGACAGCAGACGGCATCTTCCACCACTGAGGCTGGCTGCCGAGGCCTCGACAGGTACTGGCTGAGTGACCACCACCTGCCACTTCCTCTCCCGACAGGCGCGGAGGATGTTTGAAGGTGAGATGGCAAGTCTCTCTGCCATCCTGCACACAGGCACGGTGCGGGTGCCCAAGCCGTTGGCGGTCCTCGATGGCCCGGGCGGCGGGAGTGTGCTTGTCATGGAACATGTGGACATGAGGTACCTGAGCAGGTATGCCCCGGCCTCCCTTGCTGCCGGAACCTGGAGTGTGCATTTGGTGGGAACCGATAGGGTGGATGAGAAGACTCAGGTGCTCCAGCACGGTGGTGTGCAAGAGGCCTGAGGCTAGCCTGAGAGGACTCAGGGAAGATGTCTGGGTGAGGTTGGGGGTGGGCCTTGGTCAACCCCACCTCCATGGTGTGCCTTTGTGCAACTTCTGTCTGGGATCTGGCGAGAAACTGGTGGCCTTTGCTCTCACAGTCACGCGGCAACACTTGGAACCCAGCTGGCCGATCTGCACCTAGACAACCAGAGGCTTGGAAATATGCTGCGGAAGGAAGGCGGCACTGTAGGTAGGGGCACAGAGCCCGGCAGGGCAGGGCACTGTGGGCAGGGTGTGGTGTGTCTACAGGGGCGCCTTGTGGAGAGGGAAGGCAGTGAGGTGTGGCCACCTGGTGGAGAGGGGAGGCTTGCTGCTGCCTAGGAGAAGCACTATGAAGGCAAGCGACACATCAAGTCTGGACACAGGGCAGGGAATGGGTTGGAGTCACAGCCCAGTGAGTGAGTGGTCGGTGCTGCTGTGAGATCAGCCTGGAGATCCCAGGCCCCTCAAGAAGTGATGCTTGTTCCCTAAAGGTTTCCCTGGCTCACTCTCCATGGGTAGACCCTAACCCTGTGCCTGCTTCTTGAGGCCTGCCCCTGGGGCCGACGGGCCCCGCAGGGTCTGAGCAGGAGCAGGTGGGGCAGCACAAGCGTGTCTGGGGTTCTCTTCCTCCTCAAGGATGGCCCTGCCCAGGTGCTGTGCTAGCTCGGCTAAGGGGAGAGTGGCTGGCGCCAAACACAAATAACAGACTCCACCTCACTGGACGGACAGACAGACCCCGTCTTCCTATGCCCCTGCACAGACTTGGAGCCACTGGGAGTTGCTCTGGTCTTGTGGAGCTGCAGAGCCCAGCCCGGTGTCCCAGCCCAGCAGTTTCTCCTCTGTGTCCAGCAAGTGCTTAAGCCCAGTCTCGAACTCACTCCTTCCTGGAGGGTCTGGGGTTTGATGGCTCTCCTAGAGAGTGTTCTCCTGGGCTGTTGTCTCCTGGTACCCTCTGAAGCTATCACCAGAAGCAAATGGTATCTTTTGTCAATTAAGTTAGCCTCTGCAAGCCTCTGTTCTTGGGCTGCCTCTGTGGAGACGCAGGCCCCAGGACTCAGTACTGCCGGATCTGTGAGGACGAGAAGACAGGTGGAGAAGGCTCCCCGATGCCACTCAGAATGCAGAGACAGGTCTGCTCTGTTCTCCTTACGCTTGTAGGGAGAGGTGGTGGCCAGGATGAACGAGCCTTTGTGGACCAGTTTGGGTTTGACGTGGTGACCTGCTGTGGATACCTCCCCCAGGTGAGTGATCCCCACACTGCTCCCTCCTCCCAGTATGCTCAGGTGCAGCAGGGAGGGCACGGGAAAGCACACCCCCATTTTTGGCAGTCTTGGCGCCCCTCCCCTGGATGAGTTTGCAGAGGTACCTGCGAGGGTGGCCTGCTTTCCTGCCCGCCGAGCACAGGGAAGTGGAAGGAGATGGCAATGGGTGTAAAAGCTGGAAGCTGGACCCTGTCTGGGAGGCATGAAGCCCTGAGAGAAGGTTCCTGAAATGAAAGGACATGACCTTGGCTTCATGATTCCCTCTGTGCCCTGTGTGATGCCTGGCCAACAGCGGGTGGAAGTGCAGCCTGGCTCTTCGGGATAGACTGCTCTGCTGAGCGAGAGCTGAGCCAGGACACTAAAGTGTGATGTGTTGTATCAGGCTGCTATCAGCTGGTATAGACATAGCCCTGCCTGTGGGGTCCACTAGCAAATGGGGACACTTCTTTCCTGTGACCCGTTCCCACCCATACTGCCACCCCTGCACAATACGGCTTTTGACTGGCCAGGTACACCTAGGCCTTTACTGCCTCGGCTCCTCCCAGACACTGGCTTCCCTGCATAGGACAGCTCCTGCTTATCTCAGAGTTGCTCCTGGGCCACCGTATCTCTGGCTTCTGCCAGGTCTGCCTGTCTCCGAGCTGCTCCGGCCCGGGCATCCCTGCATGTCTCATGTTGATCACGGTGTTGTGTATCCTTTGGACCCCACACTGAGGGCACACTCTGGGCACTTGGTCTTCCCACACACCTGAGCATCGTGCCCAGGCTCAGCAGTGTGAGCATCGTGCCCAGGTACTCAGCCAGTGTGAGCAAGAACGTGAGGAGAGGTCGAGGAGGCAGAGTTCATCGGCTCCACGCCAGTGCGAGCTGTGCGGCAGGAGAGGTTGTATATGGGCCCTTCTGCTCAGGAGGAGGAGGGAGAGTGGGTTGGGGTGTCCTGTGTATAGGATGACAGATGAACGGTCGGCCTTGGGCAGTCCCCTGTCCAGGGCATGACTGTATTGGCCATGGTCCCGCCTGCCTTCCTGTGAGTGCTGTCACAGGACAGGGCTAGCCCACAGAGTAGCTGTGTTTCTTCCTTTCCGTCTTTGGCTCTGCCCTCTCGTTGTGACCAGTGCCCCCTTGCTGCCCTCTGTAGGTGAACGACTGGCAAAAAGACTGGGTCTCGTTCTTTGCCCAGCAGCGCATCCAGCCCCAGATGGACATGGTGGAGAGGGAGTCCGGGGACCGGGAGGCTCGCGAGCTCTGGGCAGCCCTGCAGGTAAGCAGCACAGCCTGCTGGGTACCTGCTACCTGGCCAGTCTGTGCATGAGCTGCTGTGCATGGGCAGAATGGGTGAGAGGTGTCTGAGCCCCGGGTGATGCTGCTCCTTCCCCAGCTGAAGATCCCGGCCCTGTTCCGGGACCTGCACGTGGTCCCTGCCTTGCTGCACGGCGACCTCTGGGGAGGAAACGTAGCTGAGGACACCTCGGGGCCCGTCATTTTTGACCCTGCGTCATTCTACGGCCACTCGGAGTACGAGCTGGCAATCGCTGGCATGTTCGGGGGCTTCAGCAGTGCCTTCTACTCGGCCTACCACAGCAAGCTCCCCAAAGCCCCCGGCTTCGAGAAGCGGCTGCAGCTCTACCAGCTCTTCCACTACCTGAACCACTGGAACCACTTTGGGTCGGGGTACCGGGGATCTTCCCTGAACGTCATGAGGAACCTCGTGCGGTGAGCACAGGTGGGACTGGCTAAAGTGTCAGGGTTCTGGCTCTAGGCCATGCCCAGGACCCTGCTTCTCACCTTCCCCGCCATGATCTCTCGCTGGGACAGCAGTGACCAACCCAGCTGCTTATCTTCGGACTCTGAAGCAAGGTGTCTGGAGGTGGTTGTGGCCAGAGTTGGTCATGCAGGTGGTTAGTGAGCAGCTGCCCTCATCTCCTGAGGCCCCACCCTCATGTCCAGGGACACATCCTCCAGGCTGCTCCTGGGAGTGTCACTTCTAGACAAGAAACTGTCCCCTCTGATATTTCTCACAGGACCAGTTCCAGAATCGAACACATTCCATGAGTTGTGGCTGTCCTTGGGCCCTGCTGCCATCTGGCAGGTCTGGACACTGACTCTGGGTGTGGCTTGTCCCTGAGTGTCCTCCAAAAATGTCAGCCGATCATGCGCCTGTGTTTACCCCACTGTCTGCTTTCTCAAGCCAGGAACTCGTTCTTTGCAGCGCGTTATGTGAGTGGTACACCAATGCTCAGTGCCCTCCCGAGCATCCAATGTGGTGGTCGGCAGTTCATGAATGGCACTGATGCTGATAAATCCCTTTGCATAAAAATAAACTTTTCAGTGGTTTTAAGGACATGTGAGACTGTTTTCATTGCTTAAATAATAACCTGCGATTATCTTCTCAGCCCCCTGCATTGCACCTGATGATACCAGGGAGATGTGTTTCTTCCAAGAGCAGCTTTTCTCTGACTTGCTGCAGGGAAAGAAGCAGAGCTTCTGAATGGGCAGGCACACCTGCGACTGCAGCTTTGACCAGAGCTGCAGCACAGTGCGCCTCTGCTCGCCTGTGAGACGGTGGCATCCCAGTGCCACGGGGTAGCTGACACGGGGTGACATCCCAGTGCCACGGAGTAGCTGAGACGGTGACATCCCAGTGCCACAGAGTAGCTGTGGAGAAGGGTGGTGTGTTCATCTTGAATTATCCTGACCCTTGAGGGGAGTACTTCAAAGGAAACACCAGGGCATGCAAGAGGCTAAAGGTGTTAATCGCTCCTTAAGCAAAGGGGACAAAGAGGATACTCTTAGACATTGGCATCTTTTAACTGCAAATGTGAGGAGCCAGGCACCTGTAGGAGATAGCTTTACATTAGTATTGATGGTGGGTAGGTGGGTGTGATGTGGTGAAACAGCCTTCCTGGAATTTGCATTGCGGCATTTCCCCCCGTATTTCAGACAGTGGAGGCCCACTGCGCCCCTGTGGTCACAAGTGAGAGCAGGCCTCATACACTTTTTTCCAGGTCCTCAGTTTCCCACACTCCATCAATCTGGGAACAAGGGACAGCTCTTGTCCTGGGGTAGTGTACCATCAGTGTGGGGGCAGAGGGACAGCTCATGTTCTGGGGGCACTGGAAGGGCTTTATGGCATCCTTTTTCTCAGAAACAGCGATCAAGTTCAAAGGGCAGACTAAGTTTAAATATTTGCCACTGGTCGTCTAGGAATACTCAGTTGGAATCTCTGACCACTACATGTTCTCCTTTTCCCCAAGCCCCACAAATGTGGCCCACTGTTTTTACTGCCCTTCCACTTTATCCAGCACGATGTCCTCCAGGGACTGGCCTCTCCTGACAACATGGCCAAAGTACTTGAAGACTTGCCATCCTTGCTCTAAGGAACATTCTGGCTATATTTCTTCAAAGACAGATCCCTTTGTTCTTTTGCCAATCCATGGTACTTTTAATGTTCTTCATCAGCAACACAATCCAAATATATCAATTCTTCAGTCTTCCTCAGTCAATGTCTAATTTCTACATGCATGTGAAGCGATTGAAAATATTACTTGGAGAATAGTTGGTTTGGGAAGCATCCAGAGGGAGTGGGTGGCATATCTCCTTCCAGGCCACCTGAGCCAAGCCTGGCAGAGAGTGGCAGATGTTGGCAGCCCTAGACAGACACACATACACTGTAATCACTGGGATTCACGGAAGAAAGTGCCGTCTCATTACAGGGATCTCTTGCTATGTGGAGCGGCTTGGAGTTTGCTTTCTCTCTGGATGTGGATCGCTATCCTAATCATGGTACCTGTGGAGGGATGAGTGGGGGACAATTAAAGTGGGCGTGGGCCAGGAAGTCACTTCTACTATGACCACTGCATCTACCAGCCTGATAACTGCTGAGATTCTCTGTGGACCTCTCTGTGGAGCAGAGCTGGGAGGCAGGCTCCCCCTTGCCCAGCTTCCCTCCCCAACTCCTCCACCCAGCCTGTGGTGCAAGCAGAGGGGCAGTGGGCAGGAGGAGAAGGCACTTGGAATCCTAGGTTTCTACTTGAGACATCTGGCCTGGAGGAGCCCTCAAACTTTCTTATTGGTCCCACCCACTGGGCAAGGCCTTGGTTCCAATTTGAAAGGTGCTAGCTACCTGAATCCTTGACATATCTAAGGCTGTCCCATAGATATTCTTTCACCTGGACAGAGCAGAATCCAACAATTCTATCGGTTTTACCACCAACACTGCCCATCTTGACCTGTGTCTCTGAGGACATCCCTGTTATCTTTTCTCTTCCTGCACTCTTCCAGGTGGCTGTCCAAAGGGTTGGGCTCACTGATCATCCGGAATCTTCTCCCCACTCAGTCACCCTTTTCTCAGAAGAACTACCAATATGCTGGAGCAGGGGCTCCTTCACCTCTTTCTGCAAGCCCTTTCTGTGGAGACCTTTGTAGATTCTCAGCGGCCTCCCTTCCTGTCTGCGAAACTCCCCTTCAGTTCTTTCCCCCCTCCGCTGTGGCAGAGCGGTTGGGTATCACTGACAGTGGCCTCTTGCCTCTCACTGTCTGAAGGGCGTTGCTCCCTCCCAGACAATTGCTTCCTCCACAGGATCACAGAGCCCTGTCTTTCTCTCACTCACAGTTTAAAGGCTATTGTGTGGATAATTAAGGAGGCCCTGGCCCCCACCTTTTCACTGAATACATTTAAGGAATTGGGATTGGGTTTCTGAAAACATCTGTGAGGGTGATACATCCAGTGGGTGGGAAGTGGACTTCCAAGTCCCCAGAACTGGAGACCTGGCCAGCTGGACTGTGAGATATTGTTTCTTGGCCAAAACAATAGAAGCAGCTTGTGGGGGGACAGGGCAAGGCAGGCAACCTGAGGCGAGTATTGAAGGGTGGGCGGGGTGGATGTTGACAATGCAGACGCATTTAACATTTGCAGAATCTTGTGAACATTAACAGTGAGTCATCACTGCTGCACTGTACGAAGTCTTGGAAGTGGAATTAAAAGGTTTATTTTTTTTAGAAATTAAAAATTTTTATTGAGCCCCCCCCCCCCAAATATTATGACTTGGTTCAGACACACCTTAGTTCTCAAAGTACTGTTCTTGCTATTCAACACTGTAAAGAGGTCTTATGGAGCAGAATTACCTAATAGAATATGGCATTCGATCTCTTGACTGCTGCTTCCATGAGCATTGATTATGGATCCAAGTAAAATTTTAATCCTTGACAACTTCAATCTTTTCTCTGTTTATCATGATGTTACCTATTGGTCCAGTTGTGAGGATTTTGATCTTTATATTAGGGACAAAATGGGTTGTCTTCCCCAATGATACATCGGGCCATAACAGGGGTTACAGGGAGATCAGGCACACTAATTGGACACCTATGGGAAAATCCAGCACTGGTCATGTGCAGACTAGGATCCCCTAAGTGCAGGTGAAACCAAACCTAGCCACAACCTAGGCCCATGACATCACACAGGTGTGCTTAAACGTAGCCAGTAAGATCAGCCAATGCCCTCAACCAAGCCTCCCCCAGCCAGGGTGGGTGGGAGAGAATAAGAGCCAGGCTCACAGCCCTGCATGCACTGCTGGCCCACCACAGGCCTCTTTTACTCTGCTTTTGCCCAGGTGCATGCTGCAGGTGGAGTCTCTCCCATGTGTGCTCTGCGCAAGCACCTGTGGGCCCTCGGGGGCCCTGCACTCCCTCTTGGCCTCCAGGGATTCCCCTTCCTGTATTCTTTCCATAAGGTTTTTCCGAGCTCAGTTGCAAACCCCACATGGCCTGGTAAGCTTTCCAGAAATAACGTGTACCTTTTCAAGACTGTATGACCTGGACATTTCTCTGTCCTCCATAAAAACTCACCTGGATTACAAAAGTGCTTCTGCTGCATGAGTTCTTTCAGGACTGTGAAGAAAAGAACAGAGGTAACTGGGCCAGGTCTGGTCTGTGTGTTTGGGCTGGGTTCAGACCCTGCAGCCCCTTCCCCCAGCTTCTCAAAAAGACGGATCGCCTGCTGGACTGTGCGGCCCCCTCCCCTGCCTCTCAAGGCCAGAGCTGGACTGGGCAGCCTCCCTCCCCCCCCGCCCCCCCATTCCAAGAAGCTGGTCTGGGAAGGAGTCAGGCTCTGCAGGGGCAGCAGCAGGAAGCCTCCCTTCTCCTTATTGGCACAAGCACCAGCAGCTCTCTTCACCTCATTTGCATATTCCCCTGACCCAAGTCCTACCAATGTCCCACTGCCTCACTGATGGGCGCGATTTACCTGACCTACTTGTTGGGTTATGGAACCTGCCTGGGAGCTCAAGATGCTCCCGTCCCTTTCTCTGCTCTCCCTTCCCCTCCCGGGAGTTCTTTCCCTCAAAAAAATCTTTCTCAACTTCACATTGCTGGTTGAATTCTATCTCCTTTTTTCACCTCCGCTTTTCACCTCTCAGTAACCCCGAATCCAGAAGCCTAACATTTACATTTGAATTATGATCTGTACTGAAGGCTGCAGTCCTTCCTTGATCTTCATCAGCAGGTCCTCCTCACTTTCAGCAAGCAAGGTGTATCAATCCACGTTGTTCAGATAATGCCACATTCTGCACAGAATCCAGATGCTCTGATTATTTGCTCAGCATACAGATTGAGTATGCTGAGTGGATAAGCCCTGATGCACACCTTTCCTGATTATAAACAGCATTCCTTTGTTCTGTTTGCACAACTGTCTCTTGATCTATGTACAGGTTCCACATGAGCACAATAAAGTGTTCTGGAATTCCCATTCTCCAGATTATCCATAGTTTGTTATGCTCCACATAGCAAACTTTACATAGTCAATAAAACACAAACATCTTTCTGGCATTCTCTACTTTGAGCAGAAGCATTGGACATTGAATAGAGAAGACGAAAGAAGAATCAGCACACCTGAACTGTGGTGCTGGAGGACTGCTAAAAGGCCAAACAAGTCTGGCTTGGAAGGGGTGTGACCAGAGCGCTCCTTGGAGGCAAGGGTGGTAAGACTGTGTCTTACATACTTTGGACATATTGCCAGGAGAGGCCAGTCCCTGCAGAAGGACAGTATGCTTGGTATAGTAGAGGGGCAGTGAAAAAGAGGAAGGCTCTCAACAGGATGAGTTGACAGAGGGGGCGCAACAATGGGCTCAAGTGTGGAAACAATTTAAGGCCGGCACAGGACAGTGCAGTGTCTTGGTCTGCTGTGCATAGTCACTGAATCGGAACCCACTTAATGGCACCTAACAGCACCAACTGCTTTGAGCCAAGATATTCTTGTTCCATGTTCTCTTGTGAATCTGGCCTGAACCTCTTGTACCTCCCTGCTAACATACTGCTGCCACCGTTGTTGGATGATCTTTGGCA